TATAAAAACAAATATGTAAAAAAAAGCGGAAAAATCAAATTCGCTTAAACTTTTTTCCCAGACTGTATATTAGATACTAGCGAAGGTACCTGCTGCAAAAGCCCTCTCGTATGGTTCCCGCTATGAAAACTCTCTTATACAGCTCCCGCTGAAAAATAGTTAAATTCCAAGTACGTTTCGTACCCGACCTCCTCTCCACTTTTCCTTGTATATACAAAAGTGTCATAGACGCTTTGGTCACGTTAGCTATCACATGGCTACCTTGATGGAACTCCACCCTCGCCCCCTCCCCCCCCCTCCTCGATGAGCATGCTAACCTCTCATAGACCTTCCGTCGCACCTAGGAAAGCATCGTGGAAAGTTTGGTGATCATAGCTATTACAGGAACTGAATGTATCGCGAACAGAAGATGCACGCTCAGACGGCCTTCGGTCGCCTTTGCTATCAATGTATTTTTTAACGTTTTGAAATGCTGCAATCCTATTGGTCAGTTGCATAGGATGCCTGTAGCAAGCGCAATATTGATTTTTTAGGAACAAAGTAGATGTCGACCTTCCCCTGGGTGTAGACATCATCTCTGGATAGTTTCACTGTATTTGCTCGTACGGTCTCCAAATGCATAGTGGACAGACAAACATTCTTCTTTATATATATAGATTACTAAGTTTTAGATTTTGGTAAGACTTTCAAAACTGGTTCTTGCCGAAAACTAACCATATGTAGTCTGGGAGCTATGTCTGTTCATGATAATTCGAACTTTTAGACGTGTAAGATGCATTAGATTCGTTTTTCAAGATATCTTCTGAAAAATAAGATTGTCATTTATCATCCAGACGTTAGGAGAGGCTTTGTTACTGATTCAGCAGAACGTGTTTCAGATCGAACGATGAACAGGTTGATTTTTTTACTGTCAGACTTCATGTTCTCTATTTTCCACTCGTGTTTGATTTTTCTTTAAATTTTTTGAGTACAGTTAATTTTCACAATTTTTCTAAGAAACGGAAACTAACTTTTATCAAGCCGAACAAATACATTTATCACATGATCGCTCTAGTTTCAGGTTTGTTATCTTTGCTATAAAATCGGTTATTTCTGACCTAACACGAAACACTTATTAACAACAGTCAATCTGTTGCAGAAAACGATAGATTTCACCATCTTTTTGTTATGCTCACTTCGTAGTGTTTCAAAACCTTTCAACGATTATACGGAAATTTTCCTATCAACTAATTGTACTACTTCTTAATTCTGTAGACGCATAAGTACTAGTGTATGAATATTCAGTTTAAGTTGCATATAGTACTCTTCTATTAGGCGTGAAGAATTTCTTATTTTAGGTGAACTACTATACTACATGACCCGTAATTTCTAATAAATACTAATGTTTTCTAAATATTTTGAGCTCTCTCTAACTCAGCACTCATTTTTATCAAGAAAGATTGATGAAAAGTTGATTTCTAGAACTAAAAATACTTGTAATGTCCTAAATTATTATCGTTAATGTTTTTCGTTCAAAATATCTGGAAAGAAAATTAAAACCACTCTCTACTTCCTATTTAACGTAGTAAGTAAAATATTTCACGTGAACGATTGTATTGTAGTTTGCAAAAAACACTGTTGCATGTCTTAATGTGAGTTTATTCTTTAGGTCCTATTCCTATCCTACTGAGTTCATAAAGAAGCTAACGAAAAAGAACTATCTCATAACTTTCTCTATATCTTATTTCATTATCCAACTGAATTATATAGCGAAAATATAAACAATACTCTAACATTTCTCTGGTTTTCATCTTTCCAATTTTTCATCATTCGAAGTATAATGAAATAATTACATCTCAATTCGTCAGTTTGCAATATATTTAACAAATGGAAATTAAGACCATGGGAACCGTGACTTATTACATTTTCAACAAGTATATATTTACCGTGGAGTGCTATCTATCACCTCAACCAGTAACACAAGCACTGTGTGTGTAAAGTTCTAGTATCAATAGATTCAAATTATATATATTCTGTATACTATATTAAGGTTAAATCGTGCACCATACTAAACAGAAATCTTTTTCTATCATATCATCTTGTTTTTTAATGCCTGGTTTATATTGAAATAAAGACAAAAAATAATATAACGATCAAAACTTAAAAATAAATAAAATGTGAATATCACGTTTTAAAAGGAAAAAATAAATAATTGACTCCTATATATTATTCTGTATTATCCATTTCAATTAAAAAGTTTGGTACCTAAACGAAAGAAAAAAGAGAATAAATTATATCATTCAATTAATTTACTGTTAATCCGCCTGATTGAATTAGACGACGACATGTTTTTAATTGATCTTCATATGTCGAACAAAGAACTAATAAATCATTTTGTTCTTTTAGATTTTGTTGATATGCAGTATTTAATTTTTGATAATCATTATTTAAATTAGTTTTTTCATCGATAATTTCTTGCATTTGACCTTCAAGACTCTGATAAAGAAAAATCATATGAATAAAAGAAAAAATCACAATATCGATATCATACTTCAAGAACGGAAACTTTTCTTTTTTCATTGGTATTTTTTTCTTGTAAAATATTATTTTCTAATTGAAGACGAGCGATTTCATCATTTTGTGCTACACAGCTAAATAAAATCAATACTGTAAAAAAAGAAAGTACTGTTAGAATTTAATCATTACCGTTCATCAAATGCATTTAATTTTTCTTGCAATTCAATAATTTTAGCATTTAATACAGCATGTTCATTATCAGCATTATTTAAATTAAGTTGCTGAACACCATTTTCAATTCTAAAAACACATAAGATTCATAATGATGAACAAAAATCATTATTCAACGTACGATTGTGTTAAATAATAATATTGCTGCTGTTGGTAAGCCTATGAAAGATTAAATTTGATAATAGAAAATAAAATCTTACGAAAAATTACTATCATATTTCTTGAATATTCTAATTCCGCTTGTTGTTGTTCACATAATGTCTTTAAACCATCGTCAGGACTTTGTTTAGAAGAAGAAGAAGAAGATTGCAATGATGTATATTGATTACGAATTTCTTGTAATGATTGTTCTAATTCGAGAATTTTCTTTTGATAAGAATCACGTTCCTCAAAAAATTGTCGTTCTTGTTGTTGATAAACATGTATTTGTTGATTTTGTTGTTGAATTAACTCAGTATATTGCGCTAATATTGCTGCTGATTGATCAGGTGGTTGTGCTTGTCCATCATTTGTACGTGTTGTTAATGTACGTGTAATTGAACCTTCAAGAACTTTATAGAGACGAGCGAATTCATAATCAAGTATCATATCATTTGATTTTGATAATTTCAATTGAGGTTTTTGTAAAGCTTTTGCATAGTAATCTGATTTTGAAAGTAATTCAAGTTTTTCTTGAAAGAAATCAATACCAATACGCTTATTAATAATTCGTTCAAGTGATTCACTAAAATAAAACAAGTCTATTGGACTTTTTTTTTGTTGACCGAAAAAATAAGATTACGTGGAATATGTTGTCATTTGATTATTATTAAAAACTAAACATAATCCAAATGCAAATGAACATAAGGATTGTATAAGAACTTCACGATCATCTGCAACTGATTGTGCACAAATTTGTGAAATTAACTAAATATAATCTATTAAAATTTATCTCCGAAAAAAACAAAAATTACATACGCAAGAAATACTATTTGCAATGGAAAGAAATGCTTGTACAGCTAGTGGACAATTTGCTAACCATGTGCATAGAAAAATGAGTATTGCAATACGAGTATGAAAAGAAGATGAAGACTATTTGATGAAAAGACAAACAGATTTAAACAAAAGAAAAAGGTATTTATAAATATACATTTTCTAACAGATCAATAGATATTTCCATTAATGATTTTGTACCTGATTGTGATTGATCAACTGCAAGTACAACTTTAAGAATAGCTTCTTTAAATTGTTGATTATCAGCAATTAAATGTGCTAGTGCAATACTAGAACACCATGAAGCAACAGTATCTTTACTTAAAAATCCAATAATTAATAAATGACCAAATGTATATTGATTTGTAACTAGAATAGAAAGAAAACTGTTGTTTTTTAAATAATATTCATCAATAAATATACCATTCTCTGTTTGAGGTAAAAGTGTTTGAATAATCATTGATTTACCATAATCATTTTTATATAGATAACATTGAAAACAATAAAGAATCGATATTCGAAGTGGAAACGATTGTTTTTCTGCAGTAATCATTGTATAAAGAAGACTTAATAATATTGGCCTAGAAATAATTTTCATTGAATAGATTCATTTTGAAAGATAAAATTTATTTATTTACTGTTGAACATCACCAGTACTATTCATTACAGATCCAAAAAATTGTTGATTATCAGTATTACCACGAATAATATCACCAATTGTATTAATAGTCTATCAGTAATTCACATTTTTTTAATGGAAATATATATCACAAAAACTCACTTCAGCTAATACATCGGCAGGAATTGACGTTAATGTAAGCATAACACATAGACGATGTAGAAGACCACATTGACTAACAGTACGTTGACATGCAACAATATTTTGATTTGAATTTGTTGGTGATACAAGTATTCGAATTACCTTTATAGATACGGGGAAAAAAACTAGATTTTTTAATTTTTTTTGTATTTTTACTTGTAATAGAAGATGAACATTGGTTCCTTTTTGTGTTGACCAATGTTTATCACCAATAGAATTTAGTTCGAAACAATCTACTAAACGTCGAATAAAAGAACTTTCACGAAAATAACTTTGATTTGATGTATTATTTTTTAATAAATTCAATAGAACAGATAAACAATCTTCGACAATTACACCTATAAAAAATTTATTTAGACGATGAGAAGAAAATGGAGAAAAATCATCTACCTCCTTCACTACCACCTTCACTATGAAGAATTTCAAATAAACGTTCAAAACCATTTTCAAATGCAACAATTTTTTGTATATTTGCATTTGATTGTGTTAATATTTGAAGTAATAGAAGAGCCTATTGAAATTGAATAGTAAATATTTTATGTTGAAACAAAAAAAACTAACATCATTTCGAATAACTTCACGTTCATCTTGTAAGAGATCAACTAATTTTGAAACACCCATTGGTCCACTTTCAAGAATAATATCTTGTAATATTTTTGTACAATTAGTAAGAAGTACAGTAACAAATTTTATAGCTGCACGACGAAGATTAAAATCAGTTTCTTCAATAAGATCAAGAGCTGCATGAACATGTTCTTTATTTTTAATATATAATTCAGTAAATTGAATGGTTATATCTTGTGGTAAATTTCGTTGTTCTAGAAAATAGATTTAAAGAATTTTTGTAAATTTTAATCATTATTTTACCTTCATCATTATCTGCTTCAAATGTCATTACATTCGCTAATGTTTCTAATGCTAATTGAATAAGATCCAAATCAATTCGATCACCTTGTAAAACATTTGCTAATAAACTCATACTTTGTGTTCCAACTTCAAGTTTACATTTCTATTGATATTTTTTCACATAAGACAAAAATATATTTTCGAAAAATATGAAAATTACTTTTGAAAGCCCTTTAAGACCACGTACAGCATCTCGACGATCTTCAATACGTGTTGATGATTGTAGACGATCACAAAGACGTTCGATCTGTAAATATATGAGGAATTCATCAAAGTAGTACAACGATATTCGATGTGTATCTGTCATGTTTAGCCCTGCAAGCATAGTGCGAAAAACACTCTTTCATTACTGATAGAAATAGAGCAGCGTTAATTATATCTTACAGTTTCTTGCTTAAATGTAGCATCATTTGCTGTTGGTGGTGGTGTCGAAGATGTTGAAGATGAAAAAAGTGAACTAACACGCAAAAAAGCCATATTATATCTTAAATAATGATCAAAAAAAGATTAGTAGTGCTTAACACAGAAAAAATTAGAATAAAATCAACCTAAAAAACGTGTCGTTACCACAGTTAGCCGATAGATCTATTTATCGAAAGAGGTCTCTAATGCACGTTGCCGCATGATAAACGTAACACAATTTCTACTTCTAATTTCTCACAAAACCTTGTTCGTAGGTATCTATTATTACGCTAATCGAATCTATATCATTTGTCGACACGTCACTTCTTCGACACGTCACTGCGTCGACACGACAGTTTGTCGATTAACTGCATAGTTACCTTATGGTATATTGCTCGTTTTTAATAAATATCAGATGAAGAGAGATATTGAATTGATCATAATATCTATGACACGTTTATTTGAAAAACAAATCATTTTGAAAAGCAGAGATGTCAAAACGATCTCTAGTATCAAAATGGTTTATAAAAAAAAGACACTAATATATTTCCAATGTGGAATATAAAGAGATGTTTAAGAACAACACAATAACAAAGAACTATAACAAGAAAAAAATTTCAAAAAGAATGCTTATCTTTATCCATCTGACATCATTTACGTTTTTTTATTGATGAAGATGATGAATTTTGTTTTTCTTTTTCATTATTAATTGCAATTGTATTTGTATTCCCATCTTCACCTTTATCTCGTTTACGTTTTTTCTTTTTTTCATGTGCAATATGTTCAACATTGTCATTTGAATCTTCACCATTGATCAATATCAAATCATTAGAATTCGTGGATGCTCGATGTTTTAAAATTGATTTACTAACTTCATTACCTGAGTTTTTTGAGCTGGAAGACTTTATTGTTTCTGTATTCTAAAATAAATACATAAATAAATTGGCGCATTTTCTATTGATTAGACTCTTTCACTTACTGTTTCATCTATATATTTCTTCATCAATTGTCCAAGACGTTGAACAAGTTGTTTTTGTTGATTTGTTAATTCAGTTGATAATAATTCTTGTTCAATTCGATCAAATTCACTAATATCATCACTATCAGTTTTTTTCTTTGGTTTTAAATATTGAGTAATTTTTGATTGTCCTTCATCTTTTTCATGATTTCGATCTTTATCATGACTTCGATCTTTTCGAACTGATTCATAATCTTTTGTTGCATTTTTAATATTACGAAAAAATTCAAATCTTATATAATCTGATGGTAAAGTTTTTTCAACAAATTCAATTAACTTTTGATGATATTCACTTTTAAGTTTTGTTAAACGTTTTATATATTCATCTTTTGTTGATTGAGATAAATCCGCCCAATTTTTTTGTAAACCTGTTTGTTGTTTTTCATTACTATATAATAAAAGTGCACTCACAGGTGGACGAGATGGTAAACCAAGTGATGAAAAATAATAATGTATATCATCAGTTTTACTTAATAATAAATGAAGTGTTGGAATATGATTTTCAACTATTGTTGGATTTAATTGTAGAAATTCTTCCCATTTTGCAGTTGATTTAAGTATAAATTTATGTCGTTTTTTTTCACTTAATTGATTAAATACTGATCGTATATAGACATTTTTAGCTGTTGTATTTGCAAATACTGGCTTTTCATCATCAGGAACTTTTTTTTCATAATAGAGTGTACTAGGTATACATTTATGTAAATCATCACGTTGACTTTGATTTAATTTTGGTTGATTATCATTGGTAATTGTTTGCAGATTTTCAGGTAATGGTTGAGAAGATTTACGACGTTGACGTATAGGTTCTGACTGAGTATTTTCACCACTAACTTGCGAAGTTTGACGCCCCTGATTAATAAATGATAAATACTCAGGTTTTAGGCGATCAGGTAAATTTTCACTAAAATTTTGTACTTGAGCAGTATAACCATCTTTAGCCTGAAAAATATCAAGATTTTTGTCGCTATTTATTAAATAAATATCTTACATCATTCAACATTTTTATATATGGTTCTTTTTCATCAGCTGTTAATGATTTCCATGCTTTTGGATTATCATTATGTTCTTGTTTATTAAATTCAGCATAATAAGCAAATGCTGTACTATTAATCGAAGAAAAAAATTATTTATTTAAATTATATTTTTAATGATTTAGAAATGAGAAGGTATACGTTAGAGTCAAAACTAGAATTTCGACTATGAAACTTTGCTAAAAAATCAGTAAGGGAAATAGGTAAACGGCTAAGACTGATAGTGAGTGTGTCGTATAGGATTCAAGTGTTAATCTATTTGAGGTCGCCAGAATCTTAGGTAAGTGACCATGAGTTTAGAATAAAACTAAGAAGATTAGTGCTATTAAGCCTTTGCGCTTGAGTTATACCCATTTTACTGGATTTTTAACTATGGCACCGGATTTTCCTCAAGAGATCTAAGGATCACTAGAATACCGTGAGAATTTCAGTCAGAACGAATGAACCCGTCTTGAGACACTGAATTTTCAAAGTTTAGTCACTCTGCGGAAAAATTCAGCGAAATGGTTGGATTTTCAAAACTCAATATCTCAAGACGGGTTCATTCGTTTTAACTGAAATTTTCACGGTATTCTAGTGATCCTTAGATCTCTTGATGATGAAATTTTAGATCCAAATTCGGTAGTTTACTTCTTCAGGGAAATCCGGTGCCATAGGTAAAACGGGTATAACTCAGCCCCAAAGGCCTAATAGCACTAATCCTGTTAGGGTTATTTTAGACTCGTGGTCACTTACCTATGGCCAAAATATCAGCCCAAAAACGATTTGTCAGTTGCGGGTCATCCCTCGTTAGCCTTTTACCTATTTCCCTTACTGATTTTTGATCATAAAGTATACATTCGATAGTTCGTAATGATATCGATATGATATTAATACTTTACCATAAAGGGTGAAAAAATCTCATCTTATAGAATATATTTAACTTACTTCAATGGTTTTTTTGGTGCATCCAATGAATCAAAATACATTTTCTGTTCTCTTTTTGATAATAAATTTTCAAATAATTGACCTTCGATTTGCACATGCTCATCGATATCTTTTTCATCCTATAAATAATCATGATATATATATATGCAACAAAAATAGAGGGCTTTACTTACAAGTAATTGAATGTATTTATCAATAGCTTTTTGAAAATATTTCACTTGTTTTCCCGGTGATGTTTGAAGAAATTCTGCTCGAAGAGCAAATGGTGTACTCTAATAAGAAAATTTATATGCTACAAATTATTTTTTAAGTAATACACATACTTCAACTCCTTTCTTTTTTTGTTTTTTAATAAACAAACGTAAAGGTCGACATGCTTGAACACTAATAATAATAATAATCATTAATATAGTAAAAAATCTATTTCATAAAACTCTTACTCTTTTAATAGTTCTCCTGAAACCAAACTATTAGTAGGTTTTACAACTTTTTTCTTTGTCATTCCTTTAAAAAAAATCTGAAAAACAATATTAAAATTTTTTATTTATTTATTTATTTATTTATTGTAGTCTTGTATTCTTATATATTTTATTCTTTGCATTATCTTATTCAATTATTAAAATAACGAAAGATATGTATAATGATAATCTCATGAGCGAAAAAGAAAAAAACAAAAAGCATAAATTAATTATAAAAACAAAGCAGCATTTTTACCGTCACCATTATCAAAACGAAGAAGAAGGAAAAAAAAGAGAGAGAGAATTTTTGTTCAATAAAACAACGCAGAGATTTACAAATAGCACACCCAACAAGAAATAAATTTTTTTTTTATAGATTTTATCTGCAATATGAAATAACAACGAAAAGATAACATAAATATATATGTATGGACGGCGATAACGGATTACGATGATGATGATATAGGAGCAAGACGGATTAGTTCGGGGGATGATTGATTATGATTATCAGGTATTACAGAATTCTTTGGAGTTAATAGATTGATCGTATAAGTATTTCGACTTTTAGGAAATATTGGATTAGTAACCTAAATAACAAAACAAAAAAAATCATAATAGTAAATAAACAAATAAATTGATTAGTGTGAGTTAATAACTAAATAGGTGATCAGTGTTAACTATATAAAGCATGCTAAAATTAGTGTTAATAAAAAAACAAAAATCTTACAACAGATCATTCTCGTAGTTGAAGCTTTTTTTTCAACCTTTAACTCAATGTTAAAATCGAGTTTGGATCACATTCTAGATATGTCGACAAAAAGCACACAATTAAATATTAAATATAAAGTAAAAAATATTATTATTATTATTTTTTAGCAAAATAAAGCAACCTGAATTATGTAGAAAAAAACACACGCAACACATTAGCAGGTAAAATGTCATAGAATAGCAAATAACAACAAAATGACTAAGATTCAATATATTTACAGTTGTCAAATGAAGTATTACTCTGGCAAATATGTAGAAAAAAA